CAGTCTGCCGTGAGACAGTATCGGCCCGTGCTGTGTAATCCTCTAGTGCTCGCTGCCTAAGGCTAACTGATATTTTAAACTTCAGTAGCGCATAATATAAGTTAGGGAACTGACTGAAAAACAACTGTGCCAAACCCACTAAAGTGTTAATCCATGCAGGCACCGTTGGGAGATTTTTCATAGTGCTGTATAGCAGCTAGCACTGCACATCCAACACTAGAATTTAGCCAAAGGCTATTCTAGAATATTTATTATTAGGGAAATTAGATACAACACTAGAGACAGATATGGAAATGTCAAACTTTTTACACAGGCAAGGACAGAATGGTTTTGCAGGGGTAGTGGCAAAAAGGTATTTTTTCAAGTATTCATAATTTATGAGCTAACAAGATTTAAGCCATCTGTGTAACATTTGAAGGATTTTTCCCTCTACCAATGAACATAGTTCAATCAAAATAATTCTGAAAATGATGCCAACTGTAAAATTATTGTTAAAAAGTTAACTGTAAAATATGTTTGTTTCTAGACAGTATAATACAGCATTTATCTTTAAAAATGTATTACTCATCCTTCCACTAAAAAAGTTCCCAAGGCAATATAGAGAAAAACTAGATTGAGCCAATACATGAGAACCTGACTGTTCAGCCTTATTTAGTGGAATGGCATGCAGGTGTAAGCAGGCAATTTATGGAAGATAAATTAGATTTTGCTAATTTGTCATCATTTTTCAGCCAAAAGCCTTTGACAGCTAGATGTGAATCTTGGTTTTGCACAGATAGTGCTTAGATACAGAGGGTGATTGATTAGCAATGAGTGGCTATGATCCAGCAATTAAATGGGATTGTAGTTAAGTGTATGCCATATTTTGCTTTACCTACTATCTTCAAAAACTACTTAAGAAGATGAGTAGCTCTCTTGTGGAGTTCAGGGAGTTTTCCCTTCCAAAGGGTTGTGAAACATATGCATCCAGGCATGTTCATCAGGGAGTGGGGACTGGCTTCAACACCCTGTCTAATGTATATCTTGTGGCAAACCTGGATTTATTACTAGATAGTGAAAGTGCCCCCAGAGGCATACTTTGGGCCAGTTGTGTCAGCCAAAAAGAAACCATTATATAAGATGGCCTGGTAGAAGAATACTCTTCTGGGCATGTACAATTTAACAGGTTACAGGTGGTCTATTTTGACATAGAATCACAGAATAGTAGAGTTGGAAGGGGCCAGAGGCCATTAGGTCCAACACTCCACTCAATGCTAGACTCCAAATTTATTATTTATTTTAAACATTTCTATCCCATCCTTCCCGATAAAATGTCCCAGGATGACTTACAATAGTTGATAATAAATAATCAATAATAATAAATAATGTTAATACAATAATTAAAAAATAAATGACAGATCAATGAATAACATTCAAGTCTAACAAAACTAAGAAAGAAAATGTGCCTAGATCTAAAACAGCTAAAATCTTTAATTCTTAAAATGATGATTGAATAAAAAGGTTTTTATATGGTGCCAAAGAGTATAAAGTTGGTGCCAGGTGAACCTCTCTGGGGAGCACATTCCATAATCTGGGTGCCACTGCAGAGAAGGCCCTCCTCTGGGTATACACCCTCTTTACCTCCTTCAGTTAAACCATCCCTCTCAGATAATTGTCCAGTTGCATCTTGAATGCCTCTAGTACTGGAGAACCCACAGCCTCCTTCAGTCATTGGTCCCCTTGTCGTACTGCTCAGACAGTGAAGAAGCTCTTTCTGATGTTCAGTCAGAATCTGACTTCCTGTAATTTGAGCCCATCATTCTGTGTCCTGCACTCTGGAATGGCAGAGAAGAGATCCTGTTCTTCCTTTTTGTGGCAACCTTTCAAGTACTTGCAGGGCACTATCAACATCTCCTCTCAGTCTTCTCTTCTCGAGACCAAACCTGTGTAGTTCTTTCAATCTCACTTCATACGGCTTTGTTTCCAGTCCCTAGATCCTTGATACTCTGAACCCTTTCCAGCTTGTTTGCATCTTTCTTCAACTGTGTTACCAAGAACTAGACACAGTACTCCTGCTGAGGCCTAACTAGTTCTGAGTAAAATGGAACTAGTACATCATGGAATTTGGAAGTGATACTTTTATTAATGTGCCCTAAAAGAGTATTTGTCCTTTTTGCAGCCACATCACATTGTTGACTCATATTCCGCTTGTGATCTGCAACAATTTCAAGTTCCTCTTCCTTGCAGTATTGTTGAGTCAAATGTCCCCCATCCAGTAGTAGTGCATTTGGTTTCTTTTTTCCTAGGTGCAGAACTTGGCTAATCAGGAGATCATGGAGGCACTTCCTCAAAGGCTTTGCTAAAGTCTAGATAGATTATGTCCACAGCATTCCCACAGTCCATCAGGGAGGTTACCCAATCAAAAAATGAAAATCAGCTTAGTCTGGCAGGATTTGTTCTTGAGAAATCCATGTTGACTTCTAGTAATGACTGTATTGTTTTCAAGGTGTTTGAAGACTGACTGCTTTATGACCTGCTTCAAAATTTTCCCAGGGATTGATATCAGACTGACTGATCTGTAGTTCTCAGATTCTTATTTTCCTTTCTTGAAGATAGGGACAATGTTAGACCTTTTCCAGTCATCTGGCACTTCTCCTGTTCTCCATGATTTCTCAAAGAGACTAGACAGTAGTTCTGAGAATTATTCAACGAGCTTGTTCATAAATCTAGGATGGAGTTCATTGGCACCTGGAGATTTGAACTCATTCAATCCATTCAATCTACATGTCTGTACATCTCTTTATTGTGGCCTTACCACCAAACAGGATGTCATAAAGAGATACACGTGAGTATGCCTACTGTGCATTTTCTACATTGTGGCAGCTCACACATATGCACCCAATTACTCATACAGGATTCTACTCTTGAATCAGCAGCTGTTAGAACACATCTCTGGGCACCTACTTCCTACTGGACAGATCTCAGTTTTGGTTTCTAGTCTCAGTTTTTCCCAGTCTTAAGTTTGGTTCATTCCATTCCTGCATCAGTCTGAGAATGTATTGAAAAAGTCCAGATCAAAAATTGCATGCATCTTTATGCACATTTTTCTAATTTTTACAAAAATATGCAGATTTTGGGACATTATTTTTACTAATTCACATAATTGTGTGCATGACTCCCTAAAAATTTTCATTTCTAATTGCATTTCAAAATTTGAAGACATGCATGTTACAATGGGTACTTGTATTTACACATTGATCTGAAAGTACAGAATTTCTAAGTTTACATTAAAATGTAAATCAGATGAATTTCCTCCCCATACCTGGTTACTGACTCAACTACCACTCCAATGTAGAGCAGCAGTGGAGATATCCATATCATGAGATTAATGCAGCACATCACAACTTGTGAGCCTATCAAGAAAAAGACTTCATCCCAATCAGCTTTAAATGTCATACTGAAAATAGGTCAGTAAAATGGATATATTTTGGATACTAGCCTGGTTTGGTATTCCAAATGACAGTAGAGATGTGCTAATACAGAAATAGGTGACTTTTTTTGAACCTGAGGGCACATTTGTATTTTTGTTCCATTCCTGAAGACACATTTTTAGAGCGATGCTTTCTTCCCCTCGCCTGCAATCTCACTCTTCTTGTCCTGCTCCCCAATCTGGTGCTTGCAGATTTTTTCAACAGGTGCTCAAAGTTTCAAGCCACTTTATCACTTATCAAGAAACTTTGCATCAATGATTGTGATATTAACTATATGTATTTAAAAATTCTCACTGTGGGTGTGCTGCACTGTACCTTGAATAACTTCATTTATTTCAAAGAGTAGTTGGGTTTATATTTTATATTGCTTCAGCTATATTGTTTTGGTAAAACCAAATGGCCCTCAGGTTGAATAATGTGGATCCAAAAGAGGATTTAACATAGTACCTTTAACTTAACAGTGTGTTGAGAAATATTAGAACTTTGGCTCATTTCTTCTTTGGAAGTTAGACCAAATCAGAATATACCTTATATAAATGCAGATTCTAAACAACAAACTTTACTCAGTAAAGTTTAGTGGCCAACTGACAAAAGAAATGAAGCATTTTGTAGTGTGATCTTTAGTTCAGCAAAATTGTTTTGAAGCAGTAGCTACTGTGCATATTCTGAATTAATACCTGTTCCCTGAGTGCAAAGCCTTCCTTCTACTAACAATGTGATGATGTAATATGCAAGGGGCACATAGTTTAGTCACAATCACAGTTATCATTAAACATTGTGCCTAATAAAAGAATTGAACTTATACCCAATCTTAAACACCAAATAAGCCCATTTCAGTTTAAAAAGAGTTGAGGGAAGAAATCCAAAATATTTTGGATCATCACTGCAGGACACCTTAAGTTACTGCAAAATTAAATTAAAAAAGGAATTTGGAATAATGGAATTGTGAAATGTAAGCATTAAAATAACTATATCTTATTGAACCATATTCATGGACATGATCAGTATTATGCCTTGGGCAAAGAACTACTCCCACCATATCCATTGCCATAGCATAAATGCTAACCCCATAATTTCTAATTCCCTTATAACATTAAATCTACATTGGCCCCAATACCTGATATTTGAGTTCTTTCCTCATATAGCCCAGAGACATATTCAGTTCTTTTGCATATTCAAAAGGAACTGGCAACCTAATTGCTGCAGAAGTAACCAGGAAAATAAGAACACTTTCATCCATCATAAGTTGCTCAATACCAATAGCCCAAGTAATCATTGGCAAATTCTGAGAGCCTGTGTGGTATAGTGGTTAAGAATGTGAGACTGGGACAAAGGAGATCTGGGTCTAGCGCCCACTCAGCCATGGAACTCACAGGGTGACTCTGGGTTAGTCACAGACTCTCAGCCCAACATACCTCACAGGGTAGTTGCTGTTGTGAGGATAAGATTGAGAGCAAGAAGAGAATTACACAAGCCACCTTGAATTCCTTGACAGAAAAAAAAGCAAGATATAAATAAGGTGGCAGAATATAGGTGGTCACAAAACAGTTTTATTCAACAGTGATTACAAGAAAAGGATAAGGCAAATTTACAAATTTGTAACAATGCAAGGATGATGAAAACAAGCAGTGAAGATATTTGAAAAACTATACACAAGCAGGTTTTAATGGTACAAAGAGATTTTTCAGGGGACAGAAACTGTACATAAAGTATCAGCAGTGATTTTTTTAACAAGTAATGTAAAAATAACTGAGGAAGCGATTTCAACGGTTTTACACAGTGAAACAGAAGCAAGCATGAGCTTTTTTTGCTTGCTTTGGGGGTGGCTGTGGGAGGACAGAAAAATGGTGCAAAACCAGATGAATTCTTTCCCTGGTTCAGAATACATTTCTAACATGAAGGATGTCTTCCAAGTTTGTCAAGGAATCACAGAGGCGTTCAGGGAAAGAACTGTCAAATGTGCTATTCAGTTCCTCTCTCAGTTCTCCCAGAAGCACAGTAGACTTATCATTTGCATTCAAAATTCTTTCAAAGAATTTACTCCACAAATCACTGTCAACAAACCTAAGAACAAATAGGAATGCAGCACATTGAGAATTTCATACATATGGATGTTTCAGAATGCTTAAGTTGTAATCTCTCATTTTTCCAAAACCAAACAATTTGAGACCCCAATTGAATATAGATTCACTATATTTATATCCCACATCAACTCACAGAATTAAAAATAAAACAGATAAATAGGAAATGACAGGCGTCAAGTATATGCACAAGCTACTAAAACATCTGCTATGGTCAAATATGATTATCAGGTTCACTTGAACATTTTATGTTGAAGCATTCCATTCACTAGGTGAAAAACTATCTTTAAAGTTGGCAGGTTTCATACACTAGAAATTTGACTATAAGCATGAACTTTTTGGATTCAGAGCAGAGTTATGGTTAATTTGATGGTTAACTATGATTGGGTATGCACATTTGGGATTTACTGACTACAAACAAAAGATTACCAACTTAATGATGAAAAGAAAACTTTGAAGAACTGGATAGGCACATCCCATGTTAAAGCCAGAGTAAAAGCTCTTCGGATCACCTAGGACTAAATGTAGGGTAGCTGGCTGCAGCTCATAGACTTTGAAAAACTTGTGCACTCTTTGCAGTTTCTTTTGCAACCACATACGGCTGCATTTGGTTTGTTTACCCAAACGGCAACTGGCAAGTCAGACAGCTCGAAGGAGCATATCTCCTCTGCAACTTTAGCAATGCACCTTTCAGCAGTGATTTTTAATTGCCCAGAGTATATACCTTAATTAATTTCACTGACTGAAAACCAAATTATGAGGTTGTGTGGAGAACAGCCATACACGCTTGCAACTAACTGTAGCCCTTCAATTATTGCAACTAAATTCAGATTCACCAATTAGGTGAATACATTCATTTTACCAAGGTTTTTGAATTTTACACTTACTAATATTTCATAATATATCCAAAGCATATATTAGAAAAAACTGGGGACCATTACAGAAAACAAACTAATACTACAGGTATTACATTTTGAGTAAGAGCCTTCCTTTCTTGTCTGATGATAGTATATTAAAGATTTGGCTAATTCTTTTTAACATACAAAATACAATATTTTGTGGTCCATCCAACCATTTAAATGCTCTTGTGTAATATGCAACTTCACAAATATCCAACAGAGTTCATTTGAGTCACTCCCAGCTTACTCAGCCTAGAGCTTTCCTGCTTAAGCAAACTACTGTTCCTTAGAACATAAAAGTATTGAAACAGCACTGGAACTTTCAGAAGGCATATTAACACTGCCTCCTAAATAAACCCACAGATGCTCCTAAACTGCTTTTTAAACTAATTTGTTAAGATGCTAGCGGTCTGCATTCTCATGCTAGCACAAAGAAAAAAAGTTTTTCCTCTACAGCCAACATGGAAATGTGTGACTCTGCCTAGTTTAAAACAAAAACATGCCTTTTAGCAAGTGAACTGTCAGAGAATGACAGGACTATCCCTTCTTCACAGTCAACTGGGAAGCTAAGGGACAGATGAAAAGAGGATAGGAGATCTTTATATCCTCGCCAATCCATGGAATTCCATTTCTACAGTTACCAGGTGAGCTGTTGAAGATGAAGGGTGAGGATAGGATTCCAAAGAAACCATCATACAGAAAAGCCATTTTGAACTTGAGCAGGGCTGCATGTTTTGCTTTGCTTTTTCTTTTGTGCACCTAAAGCATTCTTTCACTTCCTCTCAAGGAAGCCTCCCTCATCATCAAAAGGCCACAGATAAAACATGTGGGAACTAACATTCTAATAATTTAAGCAACTACAAACTTTATGTAGTGCAAATATGTTTAGTATTTGTATTTCAGGGAACTGGGCTTGCCTAGGCAGAATCAAGTGTCAACTGAAACACCTTAGTCAAATTTGTTTGTCTACTGGAAACCTTCCATTTGTGTAACTTAACAATAATTTTGAGAACAGGAACAAGCAGTTCCTGTACACACAAACCTTTTGGCAAAGACATCTTTTCTTCAGTATTCTGAACCTTCTAATCACCATAAGCATACTGCTCCCTGAAAAACCCATCACACCCACAGCATGAGCCAGCTCCATGAAGTATTGCTGCTGATGCAAAACTATCTATTTTAAGCTGATCTGTTAAAATGGCTATAAAAAGGCAACTTCATCCTGTTCTTTAAAATGCATGAAGTGCGACAGATAATCTTTCTGAGAACTGGAAAAGTGCACTGGAAAAGGTTTCATTCACTCAAACAGGACTTGTCAGGAAAGGTCAGGGATCAATCTGTGTCGACTCAATGCCCCCTTGATTTTACTAAAGCTGATAATAAAAGCAAATATCCTAAAAACAGGAGTGTAAATAGATGGGCAAGTGTCACTCATTGGGCTATTTTCCAGCAAGCTTTTAATTCTTTTGGCATGCCTCTCTCAGAGAAAGGACTGAAGAAAGGAAGCCACAAATTTGAAGCAGTTGTATGGAATAGCTTATTGTTGTATCTAACATCCAAGAATGAGAAACCAGGCTCCACAAAACTGTTCAGCATATTTAACTGAGGCAAGCAGTAATTAGAACTTTGTCAATGGTAATCCCAACATGCAACACAGAGACATGATCTGGTTTGCATGACACAACCAACTATTGTGGATTCTTCCTCTCTTGCTTATGCATGACAACTCATGAGTTGTCATTACATATGAATCAGATTATCCCATTATCCCATATTATCAGAACTTTATTATGTCAGTTTGCCTAAGAGCTAGTGAGTTGCTCAAGAAATCCATCCAGACAGCTTCATACTTAAGTAGGATTTCCCTGCCTAGTCCAATATTAATTCTGACTGCACAGCTCTCCAGTTTTATCCACATCAGATCTATTTCCATAGCTCTTCCACAGCTATCCAAGCTTTACCATAGTTGCTGTTCCACTGTAATCTAATCCTTAACCTCAATTTTCATGTTCAGGCACTCTTTCCAGACCATTTTATTACGGCTCCCATGGCAAGGACACTTTCACTTCTATTTTTCAAGATTTTATAGAAGCAGCAGCAGGAAATTTACAAGTTATAGCAAGGGATGCTATAGATTATAGATCTCACAGCCCTCTTTGAAAAAAAAACAGAATAAAATGCATATCCTATTACACTTTTGAAAGCTTAATATTCCTGACATCCAAAGTGTATGTCTAATTCTAGATGCTCACAATTGCTTGAGAAATATTCTACTGAGTTGTTTCTTTCTTACTCGCTGATCAGCCATCCTGCCCCTGAAGTATATGCTGAAAAGCAAAGATTGCCAATTGGTGACCTTCAGCATGTTCCACCTCCCCCTGCCACCACAGCAATTGCTTTCCTTCCAACCCTCAGTCCTTCTGAGAATGATTACTGTTGCAACAGTGGGAAGTTTGAAAGGTTAGCAGAATATGTTATTAACGTTTTATCCTGCCCTTCCTCCTCAGAGTCACCTTGTGGGTGAGGCTTGACTGAGAGAGAACAGGACTAGAAAAAGGATTTGGGTGAAGCTGCAGCTCAACTGCAGAACACATTCACTGAACAAAAAAGGGGCCAGGTTCAACCCTTACAGTCTCAAGAGCTAGAACATTTTCTGCCTGAAAACCTGGAGCTGCTGCCAGTCACTGTCAACAATACTAGGCTCGATAGCCATGGGTCTAACTCAGTGTAAGGCAGCTTCCTTAAGTAAGGCACTGCACAACTCTTAGGCACTTCTTCCAAAAGTCTCGGGGAAGTAATGCAGCCAAAATGAAAGGACACTGGCCTGAGAGTCACAGATGCTGAAGCTGAGCCAGGCTGTCCACCAGTCTTAGAATGAAGGCATGAACAAGATGCCCCCATAACCAGAAATGTGGCTTTGGAGGCACCTGATCAACGAGCTAGGAGAGAGAACAGAGGCACTGTCTTGGTCAAGGTTGGTAAGCTCTGAGGCTTTCCTCCCAGCTGGGTGACACTATTCTCAACACTGAAGATTATTATAGTCTCAACCAAATGATACTGCCCAGAGCACTTGGAATTTGCTTGGGCAACTGCAAGGCAAAGGGGGAACTTCAGCCTCTCCAGGCTGAAGAGGCTGCACAATCTCTACTTTGAAATGTAGATGTGGGCATGCTTCATGGGTTTTTTTCAATGTGTTATCAATAAGAATTAACTCTGGAATAAAATCAAGCATAAAAGCATGTTGAAGCTTTAGTTACACGACCTCAGTGGAATCCCTTTTCCTCTATCAAGAGCTGTCAGCACTGCCACCACTTTGCAGCACAGAACAAGAAAGTGTGAATTATAAGTGTTCCTAACACCTATGTTTCTATCCATTTTCAATTCAGTTTTTTCCAGATATTTTTAAAAATTGGACTGTCACATTTAGAGTTCATTTTGACATGATAGACTAATGGATCGGGGGGAAATGCTACTGTATAAATTAGGAAGCCTATTCATGTTTTGTCATGTCTTCTAGAAATAAATTAACAGAGCTCTTTCACAGTGTCAAGAAAATATACCTGGGCAAACAATATATCCTAAATAAGGATTGTGTCACATTGTAAAGGGTCAGATTTTAGGTATTATTTTAATTATGACTATCAAAACTATTAAATATGCTTTATAATTTGAATTTTATCCAATTAATCCATTAATTTTAATAATTGAACATATTACTACAACTTTAATATAGTGTCATTTTTGATACTGATGTTAAAGGCGCCTTACACTTTTGTACCTGTTACTAAGAAAAAGAACATTTAGGGCACAGTCCTATGACTGTAACTCTCAGTGTTCATACGCCCCCAAACTCAGAGGCTTACTAATATACAGGATGAGAAGAGCAGCAGAAACAATCTTTGTCCCACTGTCCTCCCACCTGACATTTCACTACATAGGCCTATCTACCTGACTAGCAAGAGTGTTTTGGAGGATAAGAGAAGGAAGGTGGAAAAGCCTCAGGACAGTTCATAGCCTGGCTTCTCCAGTGTCTTCTGCTCCTCACCCACCGAAATGTTTTCTCCACTCTCCAAGGTTGCATTCCCAAGCTGAAAGGCAGCATGTGAATTCTTTCCACACAAGCTCTGTCTCCTGGCTCTGAGGTTAGAGTGCTGCAGTAAAGCACTAAACCCCAAACATAAAAAGTGAACAACTCTCAAACCCAAAGGGGCAAGGATTAAAAATTTGCTCTCACGGTTGAACAACTGAATGCATGGAGATCTAATATAAAAATGCATGCTATTTGTAATGGTATCATCCCCATAGCTGAAAATCTAAACTAGTCAATAAATGAGAAGTAGAACAGTTAAAATTATCTTTACTTCTATTTCTAATACTTACTGGGATAAGTCTCCATTAGTTTTCCAGTAGCCTTTTTCTTGATGTACTTGCATATGCTCTCCAAACAACATCAGATGGACTATGTTTGCAATGCCAAGCAAGTCCACCTGAAACCATGAAAGAATTTATCAGTCTTCATATTGTCATCCTCTACAGTCTGACTTTCTTCATCACCAAAATCAGCTGCTAACAAGCATTTTAGAAGTGCAGTCCACCCCAAAAATACCACACCTACTTCTTTGACATTTCTACTGGCGTTTTCTAGTAAATAATTCAAGGGGCAGAGTGTGCGGGGTGGAGAATGGCTGTTGGAAATATTAGGATACCAGCATTATAGTAGCTAGCTGGATATGAAAAGGAAACAGCTGTACTTTTATGCTACCTATTTCCTTCAGTCAGCAGAAAATACAGACTGGGGTATTTTTAAATGGAAGCAGCACCAAAGACCCAAACTACATGCCTGCTACAAAATGATGTTTCATGAGGCCAGGCAGTCCTAGCCAAGGCCATATGTAATATTATCCAATAAGCAATACTTTTTCACCTGGTAAGGAAGAGATTTTTCATTAAGGATCTGCTGCCCATACTGGGTCTGAGCTACTGGAAAGTTCTTCAGTGAATTCACTGCTTGCTGTATTTGCAGGTCTAGGCTGTGGGAAAAATCCACTATCTTCAGAGCCCTGGTAGTTTCAACCTCGACAAATGGGTTGCAAATTCTAAGGAAATATTGGCAGACACAATTAGGTTGAGTGTTACATTGAATTTGCACTTAGGTATATTGCTGTCTCCCTCTAGCGTTTGCCTTAAAGACTGGTACTGCTACTGAAGCAGCAGAAGTATTAAAATGAATCATTCTCAGGTGGAAAAATATGAGCACTTGCCTGCAGTCTCCACAGTACTGCACTACTGTTAGACCCAGGAAATGCAAACAGTAGTCATAATAGATTGGATTTGAAAGACTAACCAACAAGACACCAGCTGGGTTCACACATGACAACCCTCACTCAAGAATTAAAATTAGTTGTATTTGGATCATCACTAAACTGTGCGTTGCTGTGTTGTGTGAACCCAGCTGGGTTGTGAACCATAGTTTGTTAGCACAACAGCAAGCTATGGATTCTCTTGGTTAGTAAAGTATGGTTTGCTAGTGTGGTTGGGTTCATAAAACACAATATACTTCAGTGTGGGTTGTTGTATTGTATGAACCAAGACTCTAGATTTTGCAACAGCAGAGCAGGTCTAACTACTAGTAATAGCAGAACCATAGAGGTATAAGTGGTACAGCATCACAAGTAATCACCTTTGGAAAATTTACATAGTATTGCAAGGTTACTTACCAATTGCACGTTACATACTGCTTCAGAAACTGTAACTTATAACTTCTAATATTTGAATGTGTCCACATATACATAAGTTTAGATATTGCTTGCTTTATTTCCAAACATGCAAATAGACTATATTTATCTTTACAATACATTGAAAGCTCACCACAGTCAGAAAATGAATTCCTTGTAAGTGGCCAGTTCAATAGTTGTTGTTTTTTCCAGGATAGTTAGAGCTGAAACCATGTCAGCCTACCATGGCTGGCTGCTCATAGTGGACTGTTGTGTCATGTAAACCCAAAGTCTGATTGTATATATAACCTGTTAGTCTTTTTCAGCTCCAAATAGCCTGAAAAGACTCCAGAAACAGGAGTTCATGAATTAGATAAGTTAGCTTATCATTGTTGGAATTCTTTTGTACCAGTCAGGATGCATCCTTGGAAAAAGGAGGCAAACCCATCTTTTTGTGTGGTGTGTCTGCACAAGTTCTGAAATTGTGCATTTATGGGAGAAAATCTAAGGCTATTGCCTCTACTTTTCAGTTTTACATACAAATTTGCATCCTTACAACAGTGCCTAAGGCTTGACAGTGGATCTGCTAGTGCATATGTTCCTACTTCCCCAACTTGTTGCTCTACATCTGTGCTGAATTCTAACTCCTATCATACCCAGCTAGCATAGCACCGACTTCAAGAAGACTACTCTACACCCGGGGTGGAATGAAAGTAGATCTCCAAATGTTTTGGACTTCAGCTCCCAGTATTCCTAAATATTGTTGTAAACTGTCCCGAGACACCATTAATGGGATAGTCTTTAAAAGCTTTAAATAAACAAACAAACAAACATTGCCCATTTGGGCAAGGACTTTTGAGAACTGAAATCCAAGACCTTCTGTTCATGCCTTACCTATACCCACAGGGAGCTGCGGCAGCCACAGGCAATGCAACCAATTAAGGTCACTGCACTGTGTGAACCTGGCAAACATGGGGTATGTGTTACAGAAGAGACCACACATTATTCAAGGGTTGGTTAATCTTTGTACAACCAATGTTTACTAGGTTAACACACCATTCTTGAGAGGGGGTTATGTATTCAAAAAAGCATGCACGTAAACTGAAACCTTTCTGTTGGTTGAATAACTCATGTTGTTGTTGGGATGTGCAAACTGCCCTGCAATCATTTACAGATAGAGGAATAAACAGAATTTCCCCTTCTCTTGGCATAAATAAATATTGCACCATTTCTTCTACAATTCCTGCATTTCCAAAGACAATATCCAGGACTAGCTGTGTAAGATACTGTATAGGTAGAGGCTTATAATCAATACTAGTGACAGTCACAGAAGGATCAGTTGAGTCAATAAGCTGCCTGTGAGGCTTAAGAACATATTCTGTGCTCAAAAATATGACTTGCAACAACTTAGGACAACTTTGGAAATGTAAATGAAAATGCAAAATATTTGTGGGTTACTGGAAAGGCCAACCTGTCTCCTAAGAACAATGTTGCTGGATCCAGATTCCCAAGAACTATCTCTGCCTTATGCAGTTTCTCGATCACCTCTAGGAGATTGTCAGCAATTAGCATGACTACTTCCTGTGGAATAACTTTACAACTCTGGATCATATCCTGAGGAGAAAAGACAAACATAAGCAACTACAGAGCCATACCACTCCAGCCCAGTGTAATTGTTCATAGCTGTATAGGGAGACTCTATTCATATGTAGAAAATGTTAAGTACGTAGTATATATTAGAATTCAAACATTTTTGCTCAGATAAGTGATCAAACAATTAAAGAAAGCTCTTTTTGTATTTAGATAATCAAGATGCTGAATGGATTGATTAAATCAGGGGTACATAACCTTTCTAGCCCTGTGGGCCACCTATGAACCCTTCAAGGGCTTACCCAGACACAACCCAGCAAACCTGATAAATTACTGTGTTGCTGCTGCTAGCAGGGGCAAGGGAAAAGCACCACTGGGAGAATCTCTGGGAATGAGAATAGAGAGCACAGGCAGCAGTGGAGGTGTCAGGCTAAACCATCTTGTGAATAAGCCATGGCAGGCTTTTCCACCCTTTAAATTTGTGAGGTTCATCTTGATAGTTTAAAATAAAATTAAAAAAAAAACCTTGAGAGCATGGCTGAACAGGATGGAGCAAAGAGGCCCCTGCATCAGTTGTATCTGCACCCCTCAATGGGGTCCCATGCACTCCATCACATTTAGCCCCTTCTCAAAGAAATTTTAAAATCTGTCAAGGAGATTTGCACAGATCTGCTGAAGTATAGTAAAGAGTGAGTGCTCTGAAAAGGAGCACAAAAAGTGAGGGAGAATTAATAACTCCTTTTTTAGTCTAGTTGAATACTTGAGTGTCAAAAAGGTAGAAGATGTTGAAAAGTGTCCATTCAACCCTTAAAAGGAAATAAATGTACTTTGTAGGTTTCATTTGATATGCTGAACTATATGTGTTTGTTATAAAAGTAGCAGTTTATGTCTGATAATAAAGTAGGTCTTATATTTAAATTTTCCCAAAGTTTCTGTCCCACCTCCTAGGAAAAAGAAAACACTCCTCATGGCTTCAATATTACCAATATTGTACATTTCTAAGTATCAGTGGCACTGCATTAGCCAACAACTCTAGAAATTCTAGCTCTGTGGTTCAATGCCTGAATAGCATCAATTCATCTTTCAGTTACTAGTATTCATAGAAGATAAGGCTTTCAACAGCCACTAGTCCTGATTGCTATATATGGGAGCACTGATTGGTCCTTTGATTGCTATATGTTACCTCCAATATCAGCTGCAGTAAGCCTACAGACACCAGTTGCTGGGGAATGTGAACTGCACCGTGCTGTTGCATTCATGTCCTATTTCTAAGTTTTGAAAGGCAGCTATTGGACACTGTATAAACAGAATATTGCACTTAATGGACCCTAATCTGAACAAACACACCTAATGTTCCTATGATGGATTAGGTTATTGCTTGTACTTTGCAGTATTGCACTGAAGTACAATCGAGGTTCATTATGGCCACACTTGAGTATGAGACATCAAGCTTGGGAAATCTCAGGAGATTCAGAGAATGAGAACAAGGCTCCACATGCACCATTGGCACCCTGGGACTGATCCACAGGTATAAATCCTGCTTCTTCTATCTGTGCAAAATTGCACTACCTTTACTGCATGGAGAATTGTATTGGGCATCAGTATTACCATATTGTGACATCCAAATACAATAAAATACATTGAAATACAATAGAACATAATAAATTACCATTAAATACAAAAATACAAAAAATACACTTATAAATTACAGTTACAAATATAAAATTAAAATTATCAGGATAAAATAAGTAAATAAAAATATAGGAGGAGAAAAGAGAAGGAAGAAGAAGTTGCCCTGGCCAGATCATATGTTTTAACAATTAAAATGATGTTTAAATAAAAAGGTCTTTACCTGGCGCTGAAAAACCAGTAACGACGGTGCCAGGCGGACCTCTTTGGGGAGTGAATTCCATAGGTTGGGCGCCACCACAGAGAAAGCCCTTCTCTGAGTACTTACTCTCCTAATTTCTTTCATGGAGGGTTCCCAGAGAAGGGACTCTCCCGCAGATCTCAAAGGGCGGTCGGGCATATACGACGTAAGCGCTCGTTCAGGAAGCCAGGACTCAAGCCGTTGAGGGCTTTATAGGTCATAATCAACACCTTGAATTGGGCCCGGGCTTCAATGGGCAGCCAGTGAAGCTGATGGAGGACTGGAGTCATGTGAGCATAACACCCCATCCCCGTCAGCAACCTGGCAGCTCTATTTTGCATCAATTGAAGTGTTCGGACTGTCTTCAGGGGAAGCCCCACGTAAAGCACGTTACAGAAGTCTAGGCGGGAAGTCACCAGCGCGTGTGTCACCGTCACCAGGCAGTCATATTTCAATGTATTTTATTGTGTTGTAAGCCGCCCCGAGGTTTCGGCAAGGGGCGGCATAGAAATGTAATAATAATAATAATAATAATAATAATAATAATAATAATAATAATAATAATAATATATGGCACTTTATGAAGAATAGGGAAAAAATGCACAATTATTGCAAGTAACTTCATTCTAATTACAGCAGGAACTGGGGACCACAATCCTTATAATCACTAGCCTTCAGAGGATGGCTTCTAGCAGTGCCAATGCACTGTCTAGTTCATCATCATATATTATTATTATTATTATTATAACACTTTATGTATTTATATAGCTTCACCCAGCTATATATGTACAAAAATACCACACAGAGAAGTGGAACCAACGTTTTCCAACCCTTTTCTAAATTTATTGTTACCTTTCATATTTAGGCTGTCCATACTGACCTGGAGAGTAATGCAGTTTATCTCCTTATGCAGAGTCACACAACCATTGTGATATAAGAAACAAGTGCAGTTTTCACTGAAGTTCTGATCGAATGCAGCATCTAGACGCGCTTGTAGTTGCAGCAAAATGTAAAAGTCCCATGGCACAGATTCTGAGTGCACCTACACAAAAAAGGCGAACTACAGTTAGGATTTCACCATCACACAAACCAACATGGTTATTTTCAGAGACTTCAAAGATTTCTGCAGTGGGAGCTAGAAAAAGGATACAAAAAGGGAGACAAATCAAGGAAAGCAGGAGCTCTCAAACTTATCCTGTGATTTCTCATATAGGGAACACTGAACATCTTCATCAAAGGAGATGAATAAACTCCTACCTGAATGAATAAAGAATAAAAGCTCAATTCATTTAATCCAGCTAAGACATGATTTTTCCCTCCTGAAAACATTTGCACTGTATGCCAGTAAGGCATCAACAGCATTGGAGGCACTATTCAAAATGTAATACTATGAAGTGATTATCTTATAAAAATCCAAACAGCTATTACAGCAGAACCGCCATGTCCCCTGACTCGGCAGCCATGTTCTTGCCTAACTGTGGCTGACTGGAGTCTGACAATCTTGGAGTCTCGTATATGCATTGATTGGGTGGGGGTGAGAGCGACGATGGTAGCAGCTCCCATGTGGAGCGGTGGGGGACAGACACCTGGGAAGAGGACCATTGTTGGGGCAGGAGAGAAGAGGAACGAGCTGAGGCTTCATAATGGCTGACACACAAAGATTTGGAAGCAGTGAGGTTGCGGGAAGGTTGGCAGCCCTTCTGACACAGTTGACGCTTTCTAGGCTTGCAGTGCAATGTCTTATTGTGGCTAAATTAGAAATTAAACTTTATCACAGATATGTACATGTACTATGTAGTGCTTTCTACTATCCAAGGTTTCAGCTATCCACTGGGGGTCTTGGAACAATCCCTGTGGATGCAGGGGTTCTGCTGTGTAATATAATTAAAAATAAACATCAATGCAAAACATCATAAAAATTAAAAGCAGGTGAAAAAACAGGGAAAATTCATTCACTTATTTATATGATGACTTTTGTTCTAAGCAGCCCAAGGAAGCATAAATGATCCTTCTTTCCTTTTTATTTTCTCAACAACCCTGCAAAATAGGTTAAGCTGAAAAGTCACCAAGACATGTCCAAGTGAGGACATGAACCCTGATCTCCCAGTTGAACAGTCTAACCCTTATACCGCATAGGCAAGAAGATGGCCTCTAAGGTGGGCCCTAGATACTGAATTATTTGCCAAATACAGCACCAACTCTTTTCAATTCTAGGCACCAGATTCAAATAATTTAATATCCTAATGCTTTTAACTGAATTTGATTTTTCATCCTTGCTCTTTAGCTCAGTTATGTTTTATAGTCTTTTGATGTTCTTTTCAGCTTTTTACATTGTTCAATTTTTAGGGTTCTTAAATTGTGATGTTTTAAAATTGTGTACTTTTGTTCTTAACTTGAAAATCACTTGGGGATTTTGGTAAATTATTGTTCAGAACCTAAGCAAGAGGACCCAATATAAATGAAAGAGAAAAAGGTCAGTTAGCATGACATCACAGTCCATAGTGAATTAATTTACCCTTAAGGGGCTGCAGTATATGCCAGCTGCCATTATCAATTTGCAACCCCCAGATGAAAGTTGTCATGTAAACCCAGATATAGCAGTTCCCTAAGAATTAAAACACACTCCCATAAACCACAATCTGTTGTAGGGTTATGTGATTAATTGCACCTGGCATATACCACGGCACCTTGAGAGTAAATTAACCCACATCAGATTATCCTGTTCTGTGAACTGGATCGCTGAAAGGATTTGATAAAAGGTGCAAAAAAGGTACCATGGAGAATACTAAAGGATGGACAAACAGGACACTCATTTACCTTTATTAAAAATGCTTTTGAGACATCATGTGCAAAGTTGGCTGGTACAGCAGAGAACATTTTGTCATCCCCACTGATGCAATACTCTCGAGTGATAGAGTAAACGTCATCCCCTGTCAGAATAGGATTCAGTTTAAAATACTCACAAATAAGGACTCATGGCCAGAAAAGCCTCTAGAGATGGCTACTTAAACCTGAAATCTATTTTTGCTGATGTGTACATTTAAATCATTCACTGTCCCACAGTGATCCAATATTTCCCTCTCTTGCCTCAAAACTTTTCCACGGGGGCAAGGGGAACTGTAGGAGGGAGAGGGAGAATATTATTTTGTTAGTGGATATCATCCTGCCAGCAGACAGAATTGGATGCATTCCTAGACTTAAAAGACTGTAACCTAAGTTGCTATCCACTTTACTTCTAGCCACATGAAGAGTTGAAGGAATTTCTTTGTGTCTCTTATTTGGACAGAAACTGTCTTAAACTAGACTATGCCAACCATTGGAATCCAAGATCTATTTTGATTGTGACATTCCATCACTTCTATTAAAATGCCTTTATCAGCTTTAGCAATTCAGTTTGTCATACTGCATAAAAGAGCACAAATTCAAGAGAAATGGGAATGATCCAGGGTATCACCAGCTAGGTTCAATTCAGGCAACATTTACAGTACAGTGGTACCTTGGCTCACGAATGCCTCAGTTCATGACCAAATCAGGTTGCAAACAAAAATTTCATAAAATTTTATATTCAGGTTGCAAACTCCGCATTGGGTGGCAACTGAGATCGCGGCCATCTCCCCACCCCCTTGAATGAAGAGATGGCGCAATCGTGCTGTGGGCGGCGGGGAGATGGCTGAGATCGCATCTGTCTTTCTTGCAGGAGCGCAACCGTGATCTCGGCCATTTCCCCCCACCAGCACGATCACTCCTGTCTCTCCCCCCAGTGCGCCCGTCTCTCCCTCCCCCAGTGCACCCGCAATCACACTATCTCCTCCCACCCCAGCGTGCCGGGATGATGGGCGCATGCAGGGATGACGGGCGCGATTGTGTTTGTGCTGGGGGCGGGGGAGATGGCCACGATCTTTGATGGTCTTTGTCATTTTGCTTCATATTTTTCTGATTAAAAAAAATAGTTACAGAACGGATTAACCTTATTTACATTGAAACTTATAGGGAAATTTAACTTTGCTCACAAGCAATTTGGATCACGACCAGAGTCCTGGAACGGATTAAGTTCATGAGCCAAGGAACCACTGTACTATAAAACTTGCTGACAACCATTCTGCCTTCTGCTCAGCAGCCATAATGAGCTGAAGCAAGATTAACTAGGAGGAAAATTACAAATGTAGCTTAACAGAGCTTTCAAGAGAAAGCTTTCAAGCTTTCAAGAGCTTGTGAATTAACTCACAAGTTTTGGCATGCCCCAAAGTTATTAAGAAGGACCCAAAAACAACAGAGGACCCTTACCAAGATGCACTTCTTTTTCTAGTTCTATCCAAGGCATAGGCTGAGCCTCCAGTTTAAAGTCAGCAGAATTTGTCAATAAGTCTGGAAGAGGTTGCAAAAGCTGTTTGCGTTGCTCAGCATTCTTCAATAATTCAGGAGAATCAACTAAAAACAAGAAAGTAACAAGTCTGCCAGTTACAAGTTCTAACACTGCTATGATCCTTATGGGCATTTATGAAATTTGTAACATACTTCCCATTATAAAGTAATCCCAAATTGGACATCAAACCAGTAAGACAATAAAACCATACAAACATAAACCAATAAAAGATTAAAAGAGCAATCTGACTGCTTTTTCCAGATATTAATATTCATCTTATGTTGCAATATACTATTGTAGTTCAAATTAGTAATGTAAATATTTTTCACATAGTATGTCAGTTTTCTATTGCCAAGGAATATCAGAGAGTACCAGAGATTGTTGCTCTTTCACTAACTTAAACTGGCTTTTGGCAAAACTGTACAAAACATCCCTTACTGAACCTGAAAATGTTAACTGTTAAGGTAAAATATTTCTTGAGTTTAACAAGACACTGCCAAATTTACATTCACAGGGCATGTATAATAGAACCTGGAATAAGAAAAGACATTGTCTATTGCATACTCACTAGAAGCACTTTCAACATCACTGATGATTTCATCCGTACAGCTATGAACCAATTCCAGCTTCTCTGGAATTTGTTGGAATTTCACGGTGGAGATTTGTGTAGGGGAACCTGAAGATGCAGAAGATCTGGTATCTTCCTGACTTGCCTCCATAATTGGACTAAAGATAATTTAGAAAAATAGAAGATTTTTGCATCTGATGCGCTAAGGCATCCTTTCACAATTCTTAGAACTACTATTTTAAATCTGATTGTTTTACTGAATGGAAAAGATTAAGTGTTTGGCAGAAAAAAGATTTTAGAAATGCACTAATTCCACTTTGACAGAATTCCTTAGTAGGTCTTGCAATGTTATTACATAGTTGTCCCGTTCAGAACCTGTTCAGTTGCTTGCTAGCCCCAATTCTATTTGTGATAAGACTGAGAATGAGTCCTGGGCTCATGTACATATCCCTCTCCTCTCTACCTCATTGCTGGTAGAATCCTGGAGGCAAAGTAGCATCAAAACAGAGTAGGTTCTCTGCATCATTAATACGCCATAAGCTTAGTTTCTGAAGTGCTCAAGACCTTTCACTTATTTCTTCTTACTGACGAACCACAGCCTTTCTGGAAGGTGTACTGTCAGAAACTGCTTGTACAGTAACAACTGCATGCCACTAATAAGGATGGATCAGTTCCCATCCTATCCTTTTATGGGACATCCCATTAGCTTTTTGGCTGCCCTGGAGTCACATAAGCCAACAGTGAAATTCAACACATTCTAAGAATGGGAGATTGCCTGTGAAATAGGACAGAAGCAACCAGATCTTTCCTGCTCACTAGAATTTGAGTTCAGGCTCAACAGCATGTCACTATTTGTGCTGCCCCTGCTAAAGTGCCAGTGTGGTATAGTGGTTAAAAACTCAAGTCTGGGTTCTAGTCCCCACTCAGCCATGGAGCCAACTGGGTGACTTTGGGCCCATCACAGGCTGTAGTTGAGGGAGAAACTGCAGAAAGAGGGACAGGGGGAGTGCATCCCTGTTGATTTTCCTGGACCTCTCAACAGCTTTCAGTACCATTGACCATGGTATTCTTCTGGATAGATTGGCCGAGTTAGGAGTTGGAGGCATTGCTTTGCAGTGGTTCCACTCCTACCTGACTGGCCAAATCCAGAAGGTGGTGCTGGGGAATTATGGCTCTGCACCATGGCAAATTTGCCATGGAGTTCCGCAGCTTTCCATTTTATCCCCCATGCTTTTTAACATCTACATGAAACCGCTGGGAGAAGTCATCCGGCTGTTTGGGCTGCAGAGTCACCAGTATGCTGATGACACCCAGCTCTTTTACATCTAGTCCAGGTGAGGCAGTGGCTGTCCTTAACTGGTGCCTGGTTGGGGTAATGGGCTGGATGAGGGCCAATAAACTGAGGCTCAATCCAGCTAAGAGGGAGGTCCTGTGGGGATGTGGTTCAGTCCTACAGGTGACTGACATCTGCCCTGTTCTGGACGGGGTTGCACTCCCCCTAAAGTACAGGGTGCACAGTGAATTCTTGCCTATGTGCCCTCCCACCCCTTGAAATCTGAGCCAGAGGCCCTCCTCTGGGAGCTGTCCTTGGAAGAGATCAAGAAGATGACTACTCAGAGGAAGGCCTTCTCTGTGGTGGTGCCGATTGTGGAACACGCTCCCCAGAGGTCCACCTGGCACCAATGCTTCTTTCCTTTTGGAATCAGGTGAAAACATTTTTTTTCTCCCAGCATTTTGATTGTTAACTTGTTTTAGTTAGTGGTTTATATTTTAACATTGAATGCTGGGCAACTGTTATTTTTATTTCTATTTTTAGAATTAATTTGTTGTAAACTGTCCTGAGATGCCTAAGTATGGGATGGTAAAGAAAGGTTTTAAATGAATGAATGAATGAATGAATGAATGAATGAATAAATAGTTGTGGGGATAAGATTGAATGCAGCAGGTGAGAATGAGTTCATCAGAGAACGGTGAGTTCTTCAAAAAAGAAAAAAAGGCATGATATAAATCTAATAAAGTAAATTACTAAAACCATAGCATCAGATTGCTAGAGGACTAAGAAAACCAAAAAACCTATGGTTCCCCCAAATACTTGAGCTTTCCAGTTCTACTTTTCTCCATCTCAACATGACAATACCAGCACCTGTTGATATTAATGCTGCTTGATCCTCTCATATTCATTGGATTTTTATTCCTCCCCATGTTAATGATATGCTCTTATCTGACATCTGTGTTATCCTAACAATACTTTGTGGAGTAGGTTATGTTGAAAGACAGTGAGTGGCCCAAGGTCATCAGTGAGTTTGATGGCTGAGTGGGGATTGGAACCTCAGTCTTCTCAGCCCTAGTTTAATATTCTAACCTCTAGAGCACAGATTACTAAAGCCCTCAAAACTGTAGATGTGGACAGGACATGTCTCCATCAGGAATATTTTGTACAGGCAAAGATTTCTTTTTAACAAAAAAGGGGCATCCCAACATGCACTTGCCACCATTAATGATAAAGATATTGAGTTTTCATGACATGTCAAGTGTCATGAGAGTTTGCTGCCCTGCTTTCAAAATGTTAGGTAAAAAGAATAAAATGCAGAACACCAGGAAAACACTGAATTGTGATACAATTCCTAGTGTATGGTGTAAGACAGAGCTGTATCCTACCCTAGATAAAATCCTAAAAATTCTGAACTCAGCTCTTTTCAGTTACCTCAGTTTTTTCACAATGAGTGCCTCAGCATACTGCTCCTCACTCACAACTGTTTGCTGGCTCAGAGATATTGTCTTTGATTCTGGAAGTTCTTCCTTTGGTTTGCCATCAGGCTGATTTCTCTGTTCTACCATGCCATGGAAAGGGGTGGATGCCAGGTGGGCAGTCCTAGCAAAGTCACACGTGTCTTCAGGATTAGAACAGAGAGTTTTGTTTTTATATGAGCCTGTAACAATTGCATCTTCACTCAAGGGTTCAGTTCCATAGAGTGGCTCCTAGAAAAGACAGAAATAGATTAGCACAGCCATCACCAATTTATTTATTATTTAAAGCATTTTTATCCTGTCCTTTACAGGGGTCTCAGGATGGCAATACAAACAAGGATGGCGTTGTTTTCATATAACCCCAGTTCTCGGTCAGCTCCACTGGCTCCTGATTGAAGTCTGGGCCCAATTCAAGGTGTTGGTTATGACCTATAAAGCCCTAAAGCGCTCCTCGCCACTGCTGTTACTTGAGCTTCCAAAGATAGCTCTGGATAGAGGAGCATTCCCAAGCTGTGAACCTTGTCCCTAAGAGGGAGTGCAACCCCATTCAGGACAAGGTTGAGGTCCCCCACCCCGAAGCCCGACCTGCCTACCAACAGGACCTCCATCTTGTCTGGATTGAGCTTCAGTTTATTGGCCCTCATCCCGCCTATTACCTTGGCCAGGCACCAGATCAGTACAGTCACTGCCTCACCTGGATTGGTTGAGAACGAGAAGTAGAACTGGGTATCATCAGCGTACTGATGATTCCGCAGCCCACACCTCCTAATGACCTAAACGGTAATTTATTATGTACTATTGGTAATTTAATGGTAATTTATTATGTACTATTGTATTTCAATGTATTTTATCATGGTGTAAGCCGCTCCGAGGTTTCGGCAAGGGGCGGCATAGAAATGTTATAATAATAATAATAATAATAATAATAATAATAATAATAATAATAATAATAATAATAATAATAATCGGCTTGGGACCTGGATATCTAAAGGAATGCTTGCGCCCATATATGCCCTCCTGCCCCTTGAGATCAGCAACAGATGCCCTTCTCCAGGAACCCTCTGTGAATGATATTAGGAGGGTGAGTACCCGGAGGAGGGCTTTCTCTGCGGTGGCGCCCCATCTATGGAATGCGCTCCCCAGAGAGGTCTGCCTGGCACCGTCGTTATTTGTTTTTCGGCACCAGGCAAAGTCCTTTTAATTTAATTCAATGTATTTTATCTGTTGTAAGCCGCCCCAAGGTTTCGGCAAAGGGCGGCATAGAAATGTTATAATAATAATAATAATAATAATAATAATAATAAAACTTATTTTAATTGTTAAATTATTGAATTAATTAGGATTTTAAATTTTTTAGCCGAGAATGCACCAGGGGTTTTTAAATGTTTTGTAATTGTTATATTATTATTATTGATGTATGTTTTTATGCATTCTTTGTGAGCCACCCTGAGGCTTTGTTGCAATGGGGGCAGCATAGAAATGTTAGAAAAAAAGTCAGTACACAATAATATATAAATTTGATAAAACCCAATATTAAAATCTCAAACCTTAAAATACCAGGAAAATAAAAAGGTTTTGGCTTGGTGCCAAACTGAAGCATCAGTGCCAGGGGCACCTCCCTGGGAAGCATGTTCCAAAGCTAGGGCACCACAACAGAAAGGCCCTTTTCCAGAAAGGCACTCTTCTGATCTCCTTCAAAGAGGGCTCCTGAGGAATAACCTCTGACCTGGATCCATGATGGGCATTGCTGTCTTTCAGATTTGTAATTATGTATTGTTTTGCAAAATTCAGTTTGCTGAAAAGTTTGGAAGCTCATCAAAATTGATTTATGTTCTGAATTTTGGCTACAATTATAAACTTTTTACTTTTATATAATCAAGCACAAGCATGAGTAGCAGATATTATGGTTATGCTTGGTATCACAGCTATCTGGAGATTCATAAAGAACATCATTTGTTTTTATGTTATATGACATGAATTATGCCTTCACAAATAAAAAAAGAATAAGTACTACAAAATCCATAACTGGCTAACACCTTTATTAGGACCAAAGTGTCATGAAACAGCGAGCAAACTTTAAAGTTCTCCAGAGCTTTTCATTAGCCTAGATGGGACAAAGTGAGTTTGTGTGGGAAACAAAAAAATAACCAAGTATTACCCATCTAGGTTGGTGTTACCTATAGTGGCACATAGTATAGTACAATATATTACAAAAACCAGCATTTTCACAACTAAACAGACTACAAACAACAAAGTTGGCACTACCACCTAGTAGTAAGAACTTTATTATTTATTTATTATTTTATTATTATTATTTGGAGAACTTATATGCCACCCCATTCGCATAAGCCTCGGGGTGGCTTCCAAACACAAATAAATATGATACAATTACATAAAATATAGGAGACATTCTGCCGAGAAATTATTAAAATAAATAAAGTTAACAATTAAAATAACGTTTAAATAAAAAGGTCTTGGCCTGGCACCGAAAAGCAAATGACGGCGGCACCAGGCAGACCTCTTTGGGGAGCACGTTCCATAAGTTGGGCGCCACCGCAGAGAAAGCCCTCCTCCGAGTACTCACCCTCCTACTATCTTTCACGGAGGGTTCCTGGAGAAGGGCCTCTGCCGCCAATCTCAAGGGGCAGGAGGGCATATATGGACGCAAGCGCTCCTTTAGGTAACAGGTCCCAAGCCATTAAGGGCTTTATAGGTCATAACCAGCACCTTGAATTGGGCCTGGACTTCAATGGGGAGCCAGTGAAGCTGATGGAGGACTGGAGTTATGTGAGCACAACACCCAGTCCCCGTCAGCAACCTGGCAGCTCTATTTTGCACCATCTGAAGTATCCGAACCGTCTTCAAGGGCAGCCCCATGTAGAGCACATTACAGAAGTCTAATCGGGAAGTAACCAATGCGTGTGTCACTGTCGCCAGGTAATCTTCTCCAGGAAGGGACACAGCTGATGAATCAGCCGAAGCTGAAGGAAAGCGCTCCTCACCACTGCTGTTACTTGAGCTTCCAAAGATAGCTCTGGATAGAGGAGCATTCCCAAGCTGTGAACCTTGTCCCTAAGAGGGAGTGCAACCCCATTCAGGACAAGGTTGAGGTCCCCCACCCCCAAGCCCGACCCACCTACCAACAGGACCTCCATCTTGTCTGGATTGAGCTTCAGTTTATTGGCCCTCATCCTGCCCATTACCTTGGCCAGGCACCAGATCAGTACAGTCACTGCCTCACCTGGATTGGTTGAGAACGAGAAGTAGAACTGGGTATCATCAGCGTACTGATGATTCCGCAGCCCACACCTAATGACCTCTCCCAGCGGTTTCATGTAGATGTTAAATAGCACAGGGGACAAAATGGATCCCTGTGGAACTCTATGGCATAGCTGGAGATTCCAGCTATTAATTTTATAATTAATCAATACTCGAACAGGAACATTTATCATTAAAACATGGAATATCCCAAATTGTAGAACCATTTTCTTTAACAACAACAAAAAAGCAAGCCAAACTTTTTGCCATATCTTAGAATATATCTTAGGAGTTCTCTCATAGATTAAGTGTAACCTAATGTTTTTCAGTATACATATTCACATATAAGGAGCAGGGAGCCAATGAACTGTTGGAGCTCCCTGCCATCTATACATCATTTTGTTGAGCATATTAATACTTGGAGACAAAAGATCATTGCTGATTTTTATCCTCAAGCTTGCATATTCTATATCAAGATATCTGCAACACAATGCTAAAAATACTTACAGAATATTCAGGAGGTATGTTTTCCTTGGCAGTAATACTTTCTGAAGGTTTGCGAACCACAAGAGGAAATTTGGCATGTACTAGTGAAGGGCCTGTAGAAAGACTAAAAGGTGAGAAATATATGCATTCATTGATTTCTAATAATATACTTCATTCAATACATTTCACAGCATTGGCCTGTTTCTTATGGTACAGGATTACAAACCTGCCATAGAAATACTATTTATCAAGTATTTTAAAATATATTAAAGGTTAGTCTGAGCAAGAGGAAAAACAGGGACATGTGAAACAAAGTTGAGATCTGGGACTACAAAGACAGCAAAACTGATTTGAATCTAGGACAGTTTCCTTGATGAGGTATTTTAAAAATAAAATTGAGTGCTCTCTTTCTCCTGCATAGGAGTTATTTTATTTATATTTACCTAGTATGCTCATTTTCTAAAGCAGATGACTCATCAAAAATAGAAAAAGGCACAGAATCTATTGCAAGGGGGATCACAGAATCTGAAAAAGAAAATTAGTAAACTTTAGATTTGAGAACAGATACTTTGAGTACATTATAAAGGCATCATCAAAATTCTGGTGTCTCATGTTCACATCCACTAACCAACTATTACATATTCCTCTCCAAGAATTACATATTCTATTCTATTCTATTACATATTCCTCTCCTCACCAAAAACTCCTGCTATTACAGCAAAGATAAAAGCAGACAACTTGAACCACATGAGTCACTTAAATGTTTTCCATACAACAGCTATAAACTCATGAACGCAGTGTCAGCCCCTCCAGCAACACAGTACAGTGTAGAGGTTAGACTAGAACTGAAAAAAACTTAGGCTCAAATTCCCACTTAGTCAGCCTTATTGGATGACCATTCACTGGCCCCATTCACATGTAACAGCAGCAAGCTCATAATTTCCCATGGACTATGCTCAGCACAATCCCTCAGCCTTTGTCTATCCAACATCAAACAATGATTCGAATGTGCAAATTCAGGCACAGTGGATCAAACAAACCTAAATTTAACCTAATGCCTAATTTTAGTTTTTAAATGATGGCATGCATGCAACCCAGAAAATGTGAAACTAAAGGGGATGAACTGTAGGCACCATCCTGCATTTTAGGGCAGGGGTGCTGAACCTCAGTCACATAGTCACATCCACATACCTGAGGTTCAAATGCAGCATGCCCCCTTCCTCCATCATTTGGTGACTTCCTAGATTACCTATTGTTTCTCCCCAATGCCCAACCCACCATTTCTAAAAGGCTGAAATGGTCCTCCTAGACCTTTTTCATCAAGAGTCTTGAGAATTGGACAATTACCCCACTGAACCTGGGTTTGTAATACTTAATTATCTGGAGCAAATACAACAGTAAGCTCTTGCCCAAGAACATAAAAGCAGTGGAGCTCATAATTTAAATATGCATTGCATGAAGCACTTTCGGGATGATTTTGCTGGCTGACTTAAGGTCTTGTATTATGATATGGAGGAAATATTCTATCCACTTCTTTATATAATGCATACACTTTAAGTTATATTATGGGTTCTCTTAATTGTTTTAAATCTTTCTCATAGGAAAGATGCCCTTAGATTAATTTGGTTACAGTTTTTCCTGCTTTTTGATATGGAACAATGAGAATTGAACACAAAATATTCCAAGTCTTATGACACCATTAGTTCATAGTTATTACATTTGCATCTCACCTTACCACTAATATTAGTGCTCAAGGTGATTCATGGCAAACTATTATGATACTTGTAATTTTAAGTCATTTCCTAATGTAATTCTCAAATAGAGTTTGCCTTTTCTAAAAAAATACAAGCTCATAAAGCATGCATACCAAATGTACTGAACAAGCTACATGGTCAAGACAAGTACTTATTAGATAATCATCAGGTTCTATTCAGCTGTGAAATTATCTTTGAAAAAGACCAAGATCTAAAGAACAAAAGCCTAACCCTCTACATAGTTATTGAGGTCAGGTTTTTTTTACCCATCTAACAAGGTTTTTGCAACAATGCCTCTCCAACTGGGTTTAAAAGATTTATCTGAGTGAGACTTGAAAGGCTTTCCTGATGACAGAAGCTATGAGTGGAACTTACCGGTATAGCTTGACTTCTCGCATTGAGCATTTCTGTCAAGTTCAGAATTGCTATAAATAAAGAATTGGAATGATTTAAACAGTGTTCTGCTAACAATGATAAACAGATCCCAGATCAATATATTAAGCCATCCCTCCCAATCTGAAAAATCTTCAAGTAAACAAGATTAAAAAAAAAACTAAATGGTTTGTTTTATCAGTAAAGCAATCAGGGATATCATTTGAAAAAGTATCTTCTCCCTCACCTTTTCAAAGCAAAACAGCTTGAAAGAAATCCTTCAGTCAGTGCTTCAGTATCCATCAGTGCATGCTGCCTTTTGGTCACAGGTTTCAGATCCTCAGCCATATCAGAAAACATAGCCACAGGCTCCTGTTCCACTACTTGCTGCTATAATTGAGGAAAGAAAATTGGTTACAAATCAAGCTTCAAATGTCATAGCATATGCATTAGAAGTTCCTTTCCCACTATGAAGGAGTTTTACATAAGCAAATAACCTGTCTGAAGCCAGGGTGTAATATTACCTGCACACATGAGCTTTGCTTATCATTTCCTTGCTGTTTTCTCTCAACTTTTTCCATCTCCTCAATTTTTCTTTGTAATTCAGCTTTCTTCTGTGCTATGGTCTCTAGTTCCTCTGTAGGAAAATGAAGGCAATAAAGTATCATATATCATTCACAGCAGAGATGTAGCTAGAAGAAAATACAATCCCAAGTCACCTTCTGGGGAGAGAAGAAGACTGCATAATATTAGAAAAACAAGGGGCCCCTTCCAAAAGACGTAGCCCCATATCAAGTCCCTCCCCAGTCCAGCTGCAGTATGTTTCTGTAGTTTTAATTTCTGTACTGCCAAAATAAAACATTCTCTTGGAGGTTTACAACAATTCAAATATAATGCAAAATATTAATTATAAGCATCATTAAAACCATACAAAAATTTAAAACCAAATTTGAAACATAAAAGGTTACAATAAAATATACAAAATAAATCTTAAAGATGTCTTTAAGCAGCTAACAGAGCTTATCAAGTAGGAAGCTTATTCCATAACTGGAGGGCCACCAACTGAACCTCTCTTAGAGGTAGGTCCCAGATCTTTATAGTAGTGTTTGAGTAGATTGTGGTTGGGAGAGGCATTCCCTCAGATACTGTTGTCCCAAGCTAGGTAGGGTTTTATTGGTGAATACAAGCACCTTGAATCAAGGCTGGAAGCATACAGGTATCCAGTGCAATCAGGCCAAAACTGATGTTATATGATCTAATCATTTGGTCCCTGTTAATAATCTGGCTGTCATATTTTGCAGAAGTTTCAGTTTCTGAAAGGGCAGCCCCACATAGATTGCATTGCAGTATCTTCAAGATTACCAAAGTGTAGTGTAGTGGTTAAGAGCATGGGACTGGGACTCGGGCGATCAGGGTTCTAGTCCCCACTCAGCCATGGAGCCACCTGGCTGGATTGATAGGAGCTGAAGTGCCTTAGATTAGTACAGATTGTTAGGATTGTTGCAAGGATTATAGAGATAATGCATGTGATGTACTCAACCAATGCTTAATAATAGTAGCATGTCAGGATTTAAATATAAGTTTAACCTCTATACAGTTTTTGGGTTTGCAGGTCACAAAACAACCCAGGAATGTAGTATATCTGGATTGTCAATTCAAAGCAAAAGCTTTGAGAGCCAGTGTGGTGTAGTGGTTAAGAGCATGGGACTGGAACTCAGATGATCTGGGTTCTAGTCCTGCTCAGCCATGGAGCCAACTGGGTGACTTTGGGTCAGTCACAGACTCTCAACCCAACCTACCTCACAGGGTTGTTGTTGTGGGGATAAGATGGAGGAGAGAATGATGTAAGCTGCCTTGAGCCCTTTGTAGGAAAAAGGCAGGATATAAATCGGGGGGGAGGAAAAAAGCAGAGATAACTGATAGCAGGTTATATCTATCCAGATGGGGATGTAGCTGAGCCATCAGCTGAAGCTGGTAGAAGAAACTCCATGATTTCAATTTAGTCAGTATTATGACACTAATTTCAACTACATCTTACAGATCAGAACTCATCATATGGCTGCTATTTTCATTTCTACTCTGAAACAGAACTAGATCAATTAACATCTATTATGATAAGTCTACAGTCACAGGGTAATTATGTCAAATGAACCAATATGTATTTTCAGTCTAGAAGAATACTCTAGATTAATGGATGTGCATGAGAAGGCATGTCACCCCCATTGTCTTCCTTGAATATTCATCTCTTTCTACCTTCTGACTCCCCCAGGTATAACAAGCTTAACCATACCACTTTTGCATAAAAAATAAATAAATACTTTTTAAATAAAAAAGTATAAGCATATTCTGCTTGGCTCTTCTATGCTTTTATAGGAATACAATTCTTTGAAGAGATGTGCTATTTTCTGATGAAAGCCGAGAATCTGCTTCATTCACAGCATAATCCAGAAGTGCTTTTCAACCGCTTTCTTCTTAAATTCACATGGCATTGCCTATGGCAGGCTTTGTAAATTGTAAATGCATTCTCTAACACTTTTCTAATTCTGACTGACACTAAGCAATACTGGACATTTTTGTTATTTCTAAATCTACCCACTTCCAGCAGATACCTTCTCTTTTCTTCTTTGCTTGCTTTCTGTAGATCTCAGCTCTGATCTCCTCCAAAGAAAACTCTTCCACTCCAGCATATACCTTATCTTTACAATACATAGGCTGTTCTTTCTTTTCCTGACCATCTTGCTGATGGCTTTGCACACGATGTAATGGATCTTCCTCTTTCCCAGGCTTTCTGGCACTTAAGACACAGTTGATGCTAGGCTCTATTTTACAAGGAGTCCTAAGGAAACAGATATAGAACAAGAATACAAATTGGCCAAAGTATGGGTGATTAAGTTATTAGGAACAGGCATCTAACATCAGAAAGAGACACTTTAAAAATATATACAACATAATAAATTTCCAAATTAAATGGCTTGGGACCAGGATACCTGAAGAAACATCTTCTTCCATATATGCCCTCACGCCCCTTAAGATCTGCAAGAGAGGCCCTGCTCCAGGAACCCTCCTTGAAGGAGGTAAAGAGGATATCTACCCGGAGGAGGGCCTTTTGTGCAGTGGTGCCCAGACTGTGGAATGCGCTCCCCAGAGAGGTTTGCCTGGCGCCGTGCTTATATTCCTTTCGGTGCCAGGTAAAAACCCTAATTTTTTTAGGGTTTAAAATATTTAACCCTAATTTTAAGAATTAGAGTTTTTAGATCTTTAAGTTAAAAGTTGCATTTTAATTATTTTATCTATTTTTATTTATTTATTTTATTATGATTGTGATTTATTCTCTTTTGCTTATTATCAGTTTAATTTGATGGTATCCTCTTAGTACTGATTGTATTTATAATCTATTATTATCTACTGTATTATAGATTGTATTTTTATTGTTGTTGATTTTATATTCTGTATGCCATCTTGAGACGTTTAGTGAAAGACAGGATAAAAATGTTTTATTAAATTAAAATTAAATGCCATTTCTTTACAGATGACTAAAAGATTGTAAAGAAAATCATAGAGAAGGTTGTATATGTAAGCAATAGGAAGAACAAGGAATCTGCCCCTACAAAGCTGTTAAGCTCATGCTGCACAGGGTTGAAAACCTCTTCATCACTGAGTGGTTTTTTAAAATACATCTTACTGTTTCCATTGAAAAGGAAAATATCTACTTCAGCCTCAGGTCAGCATAAATAAAGGGCCAAATTCTGGAATCTCCTTGCACTCATGGCCAACTCTACTCCACTTCTGCATCATCCCATTTTGGGGCCAAATAACAGCTGGAGGTAGATTGTCTGTGAGTGTACTGGGGTCCCTGCAGCATATGGGCCCCACCTTGCCAAAGGGTACTTCTGTCCTAATCTAAACACACTTGAACAGCTGTCCGAAGGGGTTAGTATTGCACTTCTGCTATAAAGGCAGCAGTATTTTCAAGTGAAATACTTTACATCACTTAGCCTATTTTATATTTGTGCAAGCTAATGTTCAATGTGATCTCAATTTTGTTATTTAAGCCTTCCAGTTGTTACTAGCACTGCAAAAAAACCCCAAACCACTGGGAAGTTATTTATAAAGTTTCTCTCACAAATCCAGTTCAACGGAACCAGAAAGTCATTCCAGGCAAGGGCTATTTGTTAAGCAATGGTTAAAGCATAATAGCAATGGGGAAGGAGCCATATAATCAGAAAGTGCATCAATATAGTAAAAATAGCTATGAATGTAGCAGAATCCAACTGTATTGTCAAGCGTATTGTAGCATTATCCAATCTGAAAACTGGTTTCTTAAATACATAGGCATCCAACTTTCTGCCAAAATTGCTACCTAAAACATGGGAAGAACACCACATACAAATATATGCTAAAAGATAAGAGTAATAATTTTTGAATGCTCAGTTTAGGTAAGAGTTAATATTGAGCCAAAACCTTCACTTTTCATGTACCATTCCCAATTACTGTTGAGTAAAATTATGTTTACTGGATATCTGTGACACTCTTATGAACTGGAGAGTGAAATTATTAGTAATAAACCTCAGCATTTCTTTCTTGATTAGAAACTGGTAAGAGTACCTTAGTTCTTTGAGATTTTCAATTACTATTACACAAAGATGAAAAACTTGTTTTTTCTTCAGGCAAGGCATTTTTCCATAGGGATGATATTTGTCTTAATCAGTGGAACAAAACTTCAGTGACGTATTTAGAGGTCCCAAAGCTGCAAACATTTTACCCAGAAGAAACAGAACTATCAATGCAGCTTGGAAGCTCATTGCTATTGCAGAGATTTACTGTTGTTGTTTTTTTAAACTTGTCCAGTTATACAATAGATCAAGTGAGGGGAAAAAACTTACATGGCTTGTTGCTGTGCAGATTCTTCAACATATGGAGTAAAACTGGGAGTCACAACTGGAGCCACAGAACCAGAATCTGCATTGCTCCGGGGACGCTAAAAGAAAAACAGAATCAGAATCTTTACATATCACACCTGCGTGCCTTACTTAGATGTTCCATCAGGCAGCCTGATGTTTTCTCTTTAGCCAATCTAAAGAACATCACTGCAAGGGACTGAAATGTCTGTATTTGTTCATAAAATATAGAACCTTTTCAGAGCCAGTGTAGAATCAGTTAGTCTGAAATCAGGATCATGACTTCTCACTCTATCCTAAACAGCAAGCTTTCTGGCTGCTAGTGTGTGCAGTTGTGTGACTTTCCATGGTGGTCACTGTGGAACCTTCAAAGAACAGTAACACTTAGCATTTAAGGTGTGGAGACTGGACCAAAAGAGAGTGGTGTGGATAAGTAACCTGAAAATTGTGTGATGGGAGGAGAAAGGGGATAGCCACACCCACTGCTAGTGTGAAGCCTCCTGATTACCAGGGGCTACTCGTATCTATCCTTTGGGCTAGAAAAGGTTCTCCACACCTGTACAAGTGTTGAGTTATACAAGTGCTAAGGAAGTCAAGGGGACTTCCATTAGTGCGAACATTAAATATGTTAGCTAGTTGCTGTGTGCAAGTACTGCTAGAGCAATTTGAATGTCACGTGGTTAAAGAAGAAAGTGTTTGATTAAGCACCTTGAAATTTTGCATTGTGTAACAGTCAATGGAAGAGATTTAGTTAAGATTCAGCCTAAGATAAATGTTAGTAAGGAGTGCATGACCACCACACACCCATAGTAAAACCTTTTTTAGCACATGAAGACTGCCTACCAGGCAGTATGTGTTCCAAGTGCTGAAAGCAGATTTGCCATTTCTTCTTACCCTGCCCATGGTCCAAGGTCCTGCCTTTAATTCATTCTCCTTAGCTTTTGCCACTGGAGCTACCACCCATGGCTGTGGTACAAGTGCTGGAAGCTCTGTTCTACAATCTGCAACTTTGTTTTCATCAAATACAGCAAAAGTTGGGCGATTTGATGCTTGCTGAGATGATAGATTTTGAAGTCTCTGCCCTTGGCACGGCACTAGAAGAATATATTACACCATTATGTCCACCATTATGTATGAGATCAATCAGGATTCTGATGCAGCCAAACTCAACTTACACTTTATAGCATTTCCTACACGATTAATTGGGGCTTTCACTATTTTCTTTCCTCTCCCTTTCAGTTCTGCCAATGTGGTTCTTTGGGGTTCAGAAGCAGGACCGCCCAACTGCTCCTCCTCATCAACATCAGCCTCTAGATCTTCCAAGACCTGCCGAGACACACGGGCCTGGAACTGCCTAAATATAGAAATAGCAAGACCTCCATTATGTAAAGTATATCACTGACTTTTTGCACAGATCATAGTCTGGAAATAGAGTAGTTTTGCATAAGTGAAAATGTTTGTCCCTCACTTAAGACATGTTTACTGAATTCTTCCCAATTCTGCACCTTGTTTAGCCCACCATGACTCATTCATAAAGTGAATTAACCCACAAGACCAACTCTTGGTGGAAGGTCTGAGGACTGTAATTGGAGTGGAGGAGCCCTACTTAATAAGCAGAATTCCTCTTTATTCCTAAATCTAACCCATTATCTCTCTTGAAGTAAACTACCTGTGATGGGACAGTAGTTTATCCAATGGCTCAGCTTTGCACATGATTCCATCCTGAAATACCGAGTCAGCTTTCTTGTAATTTCCTCTTGCCTCAAGTTCCTCTGCCCAGGTGATATAGAGTTGTGCTAGTGATGTGCCTATTGCCTGACTGTGCAAATAACTATACAGGTCCAAAGGTTCACTACAACAGTTCCCCTGCAAAAAAGAAGAATTTGTTATATCAGAAAGGAAAAAAGTACATGTTCTTTTAAGGATCAACTGCAGTGTTTAGCCCCAATAGAATTCTTTGAAATAATTATGTATCATAAGCACATTTATAAAGTTATTTCTAGCCCTCATAGCCTCAGAGATCAGTTTGGATGTGGGTGGATAAACTGTTTAATAAGCTAGTTATCCGTCGCTGTTCAGTGATTAGCATATACCATTGAAAACTGCTATGAAACAGTCCTCGTTCTTATGTGTGCTCAAAAACAAGTTCCCCTTCATCAAAACATGAGAAATATATGATTCAATTTGATCTAACCAGCCCACAGTTTCCTTTTTGCCCTGATTATGTACACATTAATGATAGCATTACAAACTAATTGCCCATCCTCCTTTGTTCTCTCAGCCCCCTGAAAGGATCTAAGTAGATGAACCAATGAGTATTATAATGCCCTCATGCATGTGAATGAAATCCATTTTTTCAATTTAAATGTCTATCTAGGAAAACATGAGTCTTCAGTTCTTGAAAAGCCTCTCCCTAGAAACCAGGCCAGGTGCTTCTTTTTCTGTCTTGCTCTGCTCTAATGACCTGCTTGGAAAGTTCCTGCCCATAATTTCCACACCAACATTTCAAGATGGCAAGGGCATTACATCTACTTCTTCTCTGTTGTAGTTGCTATTTCATGTGCTACCTAGATGTTGCACTATTTCTGACTGAAACTCTATTCTGCAAAGCTTAAAAAGTTTTACATAGCTCACAGGAATTTTTATCCTGTTACAGGAACTGTAATTTTGATAGCATCTTTAACCTTGGTAAGGGCAATATGCCATTTCCAAAGGCCTATGTGCATCCAATGGAGAGAAAGAGGTACAGCAGAAATATCTTATCCCCCCACCCACACAACTTTGTGTATGGGCCACAGCATCTCTCTCCTATGCACTATGTAACAATTTGAGAATTTGCAATCAGTGTTACAAAGTGATAACATATGCTTCATTAGATGGATATCCTACTCCACAAGTCTGCAAAATAGATCTGAAATCAGGGTATTAAGATTGAAAAGGGGAAGCAAAGACTAGATCTGTTTTCCACTTGGAGAAATCTTAGAGTACACTTCTACTCAGGACCTTACAGGCACACCAACTCTGAGTCTTACAGTATCCAATGCAAAGTAGAAAGAGCAGGGAAGGCAGTTTTGTCTTCCTGTCCCTTCCTGTCACTAGCTAGACCTTTTCACCATATAGCTAGAAGATCTTGGAAGGGGATAGTGAGAGAAGGAGGGTGAAGCAGCTTCAGAATATTTTGTGTTCTGGCATCCCTGATCTCTCCTCTGAAATGGATTTCTTGGCTTTGGAGAATAGCCAGCACAGTTCCTCTGCACTGGTTGCAAGTGGGGGTGGAGTGAAGCCAGAATTCTCTTTCTCAGCTCTAATGTCTCTGACTTGGAAGCTTCAACAACCCTATTGCCCACAGATGCTGCCCTGGGAAAAGATCACTCCTTAGTTAATTCATTGTATGTTTTTGTGGTTTAATTTGCTTATGTTTAAAAATATTCCCAAAGCAAGATAAACTTAGTTATTACATTATTCTTACATTATAGTAGGCCTTTCCTCTTATGTGAGACAAAAGAAAAAATGCCTTGAAATAGTGCTTAGCAAATACTTTTTAAATTTAAGAACTCCTTATATAATAAACAATAAAATTTGTTCAAATACCATTGTCAGATTTTTTTTTTCCTAATCAGTTGCAATTAAATGCTATGCTTAGTTTCATTATCCTTCAATAGTTTTTTAAATCCATGTCAAGGATAATCTCAGTTAAATGTTTGGAAGTATACTACAGAAGCTCATGTTATACCATTTTTAAACACCTAATCATGCTTATGAAACTGATGTGAAAGTTGTTATTTAATATGTGGCCTGCCTCACAGGACTGTTGTCATCAGGGATGATGAACAATAGTTCAACGTTTCATAGACAAAGCAAAGATGAACACTCTTAAAAGTAAGTTCAGTCTAAAAAATAAATAAATCCAAATGCTCAAGTGATACAGTGGAATGGTTCAAGAGGACAGAGTATCATCTCTCTAGGAGGAAGACTGAACTTAATTCCACATGTGACATTTTTGCAATGATTTTAGCATGAATTACCACTATGAGCAGAAACTGCTGAAGAGATATATCTGCATACCACCAATCTTGCATTGTAGTGTTGCTCCATGATAATCCATTTATACATTGTTGGGTGGAAAAATGCAGCTGTGAATTGCTCCCACGTACTTCATGATGAAGTACAGTATGTTGTTGCTGTTGCTAGTCACGAAGTCGTGTCCAACCTATCGCGACCCCATGGACAACATTCCTCCAGGCCTTCCTGTCCTCCACCATCCCCCAGAGTCCACTTAAACTCACACTGACTGCTTCAGTGACTCCGTCTAGCCACCTCACCCTCTGCCATCCCCTTCTTATTTTGCCATCTATTGTTCCCAGCATCAGGCTCTTCTCCAGGGAGTCCTTCCTTCTCATTAGGTGGCCAAAGTATTTGAGTTTCATCTTCAGTACCTGGCCTTCTAAAGAGCAGTCAGGGTTGATCTCCTCTAAGACTGACTGGTTTGATCTCCTTGCAATCCAAGGGACTTGCAGGAGTCTTCTCCAGCACAATTCAAAGGCCTCAATTCTTTGGTGCTCAGCCTCCGTATGGTCCAGCTTTCACAGCCATACATTGCACCTTGGAAAACCATAGCTTTGACTATACACACTTTTGTTTTGTGTATACTGAAGTACAGTATACACTTCAAGAATAATCCTGATGCTCATAGCATAAGGCAATCTATTAACAGCCCATCTGAAGAAAGCTCAATGTGCAGTGGGGTGAAATGCAAAAGACTTTAGAAAATACTCACAAATTTAAGCCAGAGGCTGAGGTACCGTGGATCTTGGTAATATCTTTGCTGCTCATTCAGTGCTTTAACAGCTCTTTCCAACACAACAGAGATGTTGCTCTCTTTACCACCTTGAGGAAAAGTCTGCTCTGTCCATTTAATATACCTAGAATTACCACAACTATTATGAGCACTCTAGATTTGTGACCAAGTATTATCCATGTTCGCATTTGTAAGAATAAAGCTTACCTGTCCCAGACATCCAGTGGATCATCTCCACTGTAAAAGCGGATTTCAGATTCAAATTCCCTGAAATTAAATTTCTAGATGTTATTTGTAAATCTGCATCAGAATTTTTTTTTCAGCTGAGACAACAGAAAACATATATAATACACAACTGACAACATTTTATATGGAAAACTCCTTTTGCGAGGGAAAGATTCTATTTTTATAATAGTTGCCACCCTATACTACAGAATATTTTTGAGGAAGAAACATCTTTTGGGTGGTGTCTCATCAATTGTACTTTAACGTACTGCTGTTCCTTTTCTCCCCATCGAGCTTTTGTAAGACTAACTACAGGTAAGTGGCAAGGCACATACTTAGAATGCAGACAATTCCAAGTTCTGTCCCCAACATCCCAGTCCTGCCTGCAGGCAGCAGGGCTAGGAAAGACCAATTTGCTTCTTAAGACTCTGGAAATTCTCTGTCAGTTGGAAACCACTGGTCCATCTAGCTAATGAAATAAGACAGCTCCTTATGCTCAAGGGATCCACTTACATAGATATTATTGTATACTATCACATATTAACTAGCTGAGTTCTAGTATTTGAACTTATACCTATATGAAAGCTCATGTAACTTACATGTTATTTTAAGGAAACTCTATGAATAACAGAACTGCTGCACACCTGCATTAACTATGAAGGATAATAATATGCATTTAAAAGCTTGTGGATGGAAAAACCACCCTAGGAATGACCAGTTCTATCAGGTTTTCCAGACATGTAGCTACAGTTGTAGAAGCATGCATGTCTATCATTCACATCTCAATTCACTACCGAACATCAACAGACTTGCAGTAATTCTATTTGTGTAAATGTTAGAAACACAATGCACGTTTAATTACGGCAAGAGACTGCAAAGGATATATAAAGTAATGATACCGTTTCTGCTGCTGGATGGCTGTATGGATGGAAACATCTTGCTGAGCCAAGGCTTCCTGCAGTGTAGCCATCACTCGCCCCTGTCTTAGAGGCTGCACATTCTCTTTGCTCAACTCCCACTCATTTGCATCCAAAGACATGATAATCTGTTCAAATTGCTATGTTGCAGGGATGCTTGGCTGTGCCACTCCAAGACCATGAACACTAGAACAGAGGAGAGATTACAACAATTATGGCTGTTACATATGTGGAATGAGAACAGGTATTCAAAGAAGCCTGTTCTTCAGTCTAGAACCAACACAGAAAGGTAGGAAAAAAGAGCCTGACAGCATTTTCACTTATTAGTTTAACAAAAGATTCCACAGGGCCTAATTGTGTACTTCTGTGTAACATTGCAAAGGGTTAAAGTGTAAGGGAAGAAAGAGTACGTTCTTAACCTTTTTGAAAAACAGCACTACTACTGGCTTGTCCGACCTGCGAACTGTGCTTATTACAGCAAAGATTTCGATATTTCCTTCCAAGTCTCACGAAGCCAAGAGCATCGGGGACTTCGACGCTAAAGAAACTGGGAGTCGGGGACTCCCAGCTAGGAAATGGAAGGAAAGAAAGCTGGAGTCACCCACGTTTGGGTTCCTTCCTCATAGAAAAGCCCCACAGCTACCCCACACCCCTCTCCTGGAGGCCGTCGCGAGCCAGGCAAGCAGAGCCGCCGTGCCCTCTTCGCGCCCCGGGTTTACTCGCCATGCCAGCACGCGCATAGCCGAAGCCCAACCGAATACTCACCAACCTCTTCAGTGACTCTGTCCTCTATCCATGTTCAAATTTTAACCGCCGCCAGCCCCCAACGGCTCATTAGGCCTTATTGGTCACTTCCGATTGGATGGTCTGCAAGCGCAAAGCCCCCCTGAGCATGACGGGAATTGTAGTTTTTTTTTTGCCATGCGGCATAGCAGTAAGTGGGCGGGACGGTATTCGTTTTACAGTATAATTCTACACGCGTTTCTTCATGAGGAAGTCCTACTATGTTCAGTTGTGTATGCTCCCAGGAAGGTATGCATAGGGCTGCAGCCCTAAAGAACTTACGTGGCGGCTACCTAGGTAAAATTGTGCTGTAAATCTTATTGCTAGAGACTCAAGAGCCTTTGGCACGGATTTTAAGCGGTGCGGCCAGCTGCGTACCGCCCCAGCGAACGAATCACGTGTTTTTAGCAGCTTCTGAAAACAGTGGAATTGAGGTCCCCGCCTCGGAAGGATATAGGGTTGCGTGAGGATGGGTAATAATGTCGGGTAAAAGTAGCTGCCCTGGGCCAGTAGCACAGTCAGATCCGGTAGGCACGCCTTATAGACTATCAAAGCGCAATCCCATGCATGGTTAGACAGGAAAAAGACCTACCAATCTCAGCTGCTAGAACTTCTTTTCCTTTGTACCCACGCATAAGATTGCACCTTAAATAAATGTAATAAGTTTTCAGAAGAAATCAAATATATATATCACGTATGGATGCATTAAGAATTTCTGACAAAATATTCTGTTGGAAGAATTTTATAACAAATGCTTTTTTTCCTTTAAAATACCTTACACATAACATATAAATTTTATTTATTAACTTTTAAGATCGGTAGACTTTTTCTCAGAAAATCTCCATGCCTTATTCACCCAACAAGCTTAGCACATTGACTTGCAACAGGCTCCAGGCTTTCAGATCAAGTTCTTCCCCAGTCAGGGACTGAACATGGGACCTGTCACAACATCAACAATAAAAAAGAACTGCCTAAGGCCCCTTGGTTCGTTCGTTTGTTTAATGGGGTTGGGGGTGGTAGAAGCCTGTGTATCCTTCCCTTAGCTCAGCAGTTGGTGATGTTTGGGCCTACAGCTTCCATCAGTCTAGACAATAGTAGTGGAGTCCTGGACTGGGACTCAGGAGATTCATCACTGACTTTCAGCCCAAAGGATCATTTAAGCAATCATGGCTTCCTTTGAGGAAAAAGGGTAAGATAACTCTTCTTTCTGAGAAGGAAGCAGAGGGTAGGCATATAACAGCAGCTGTTATTCAGTCTCTGGTCAATAGCTCCTCCTGGGGTGAGGTGAGGAAAAGCCACTCACCTGCCCAGGTTTTCTGTAGCAGAGTGTCTTTCCTCTGGCTTCTCCAGTGAGATATTGTACTTGTCCATTTAAAATTGGCTGTTCCAAACTTCTCTTGGAAAATATGAGCCAGAAAGAAAATGAAATTGGGCAGGCGTGTAAACATAAGGACGTAACAATCATTGCAAAAACAGGAGGCATGTAGCAAAACCCAGCAGTCCATAGGAAATACGGCTGAGGCGTCTGGTGTGGTGGAGCCGCCGCTTTCCTTTCATTTTGTCCACTAGGTGCTGCTGTTAGAATACAGGTTTTGTTGTTGTTGGAAATGCTCCTGCCACTTTCCTGAAGAGGGAAGCTTTATGTTGTTTTCAAAGCTCACGCTGTGTAGTTCTCTTGTTGGATATGAATGGAGCCAATCCAGAATAAAGAGTACATCGAGACGACTGAATACTTCTCTTGAATCCCATAGGCAATTATTAAATAGCTAGGAGTATGTACTATGTTTTGAAGAAAAACAGGTAGCTCTTTACTGACCACATTTTCATGTTCATTGTGACACCCTTGCCCTCTGGTATCATGTCAGCCAAGTGAATTGGTGAAGCAGTAGTGTGGATTGGTACCTTTTTAACAGGGGAAAGGGGGTAGTATGGTGAGGCCATATTTTAAAGACCTTTTCTTAATGATCTGTCTGTCATCTGAGATACTTCAATACTATGACTATGCTGTAGGGCTAGGGCTTTTTATATAGCTGCACCTACTGCAAATTCCTTGCCTGTTGAGATTTGTCAAGTCCCAACACTGTGTCATTTTTGGCAGGTGGTAAAAATTTGGTTAAAAAAGCCACAGAGGGAGTTTTCAAGTGATCTTTTGATTTTAAAGTATTGTTTCATTTTTTAAATTCCTGCAATAAAGAATTGTCATTCTTTTTTGGATTGTTATGCTAAATATGGGCTTTAAAAGTGCATGGAAAGTGATAGATTGTTGTTAAGAGTTATGTGGTGTTGTTTTTACTAGCCACCTTGAGTTTCTGTTCTGGAAATAAAGTTAATATATGTGCTGTAGTTCTTCAAATGCCCATACATACATTAAAACTTGTTCATTAAATCTACTGGGTATCTCTGAGAGTGACTTCAAATAACAGAAACATTTTTAATGAATAGTCAACAACAATTCACAGTATGTAAGATCAGTTGAAATGAAAGCGTTGAACTGCAAAATGTGTCCAGTGTCCACACAGAATTTTTGATAGGCTAGAAGTAAAAGCCATCAGGAGGCACTGTTTGGGTATAGTGCAAATTACCCCATGGTCCATGTTTCATAGCGCATTTGTTTTCTGTTTTATGTGGACAACCCTATGAATGGAAGCCCTCCAAAATGGCCTGTTCATGACAGCTCTCTTATACTTGATGATCTTTTCTTGTTCCTTCACTGCCACCCTTCCAACCAAAGTTTCAGACTTCTTCTAATTTTTTGGCTATAGTCCCCCTTGAATTCATGACTGAGCTGAAGTATGTGAAATCTTTCACAATTTCAGTTTCATCATTATTTACAGGAAAGCTCTGCAATTCTTCTGTGGACCTGATTGGCATATTCTTAATATTCAGTAGCAGTTCTGCTTTGGCACTTTCTTTCAACTTCATCTGAAGTCATTCTGATTCATTGCTGCTTTCTGCCAGTAATATGGTATCCTCTGCATATCTTATTGATGTGTCTTCTGCTAAATTTCACTCCTTCTGATACTAATCCAGCTTTCCCTACAATATTTTCTAAGTACTGGTTCAACTGATAGGAAGATAAATTATGCCCTTGTCCGATTCTTTTGCCTATGGGAAACCATTCTGTTTCTCTGTCCTCACAGTAGCTCTTTGTCCATGATATAGGTTCTGCATCAGGACAATCAAGTGCTCAGGCACACCTATTTCTTTCAGAACAATCCATAGCTTCTTGTGATTTACATAGTCAAAGCCTCTGCTGTTATGTATAAAGCAGAGACTGATTTTTTTCTGATTTTTTTTGGTGCATACATTAGCTACATCTATATCTCACTTCTTTCCATGGACCTCAAAGCAATATGCATGGTTCTTTCCTCCAGTTTATCCCCTCAAAAGCTTTGTGAGGTGGTTTAAACTAAGTGAGAATGACTACCGATGGTTATCCAGTCAGCTGCATGTCTCAGTGAGGCTCTGAACCTGGGTTGAAAAGGGACAAAGGAAGAGGTTCTCCCATCTTGCACCATCATCACTCAATAGATGTTCCTCAATCTGGAACAGAAGAGTATTATGTTAGTATACTTTCGGCTCCAAACACAGATTGTCAATGTAAGTAGTTGGGGAGAATGTAGTCTAAGGAAGTGCGGTAGTTTGGTTTTGGGCATCTTTCATATGACAAAGATTTTTACTATTTTCTCTTCCACCAAATATCTGGCAGTTTGGTAATAGCAAACAAAAAGTGTTACTCTAGACAGTAACTTTTACTTAAAGGAAAGCACAGTAACTGGAGATTTTGGAAGACTATCAAGCATCACAGTCCACTGAGTTTGCAGCATTTTGCTCTTTGCATGCTTGTGCCTTATCTGAAATCACTGAGCTCAGTTTGGATTTCACAGTGGTGCAACTCAGGGAATTCCAATAGCATACAATCCACCAATTAAGGGGCTGTTACATTAATTGATTGAATCATTAATTAAATGCTTGCAATCTCTTCTAATTTGACTGTCCCCAAAATACAAGCAATAGTTACTTATCAAGAATTGTTCATCACCCTAACTAGCAGGGATTAGGACGAAGTAGTAGTCAATTGGCACAGAATAGTATTTTTGATAGCAGAAAACTATAACGACTTGTAGAGATAATTGAATAATGATCACCAATCATACACAAACTACACATATACACACATGCATACAAGCCGAGTACAAACTGCAAGAGCACATACATGTAATTGAAATTTACCTTATTTATGATGGACAGACACATAATCCATTGAGCTTCTCCCTCCCCAATTCTTCTTTTCAACACTGGCCCCAGTTAAGTGATACAGCTCTGGGAAGCTTTCCCACTCTGCAGATAGTTACTCTGTTACTGTACATTTGTTTAATTAATTGCTCATTTTGTTCCCAGGCAGGTGGTGTTAGCCCAGTGTGATTAAGGTATGCATGAATGGCTAAAAGGTGACAAGGCTCTTAAGGAGGGCTCTGTCCCCTTAATTTATTTATATGACTTAGTCACATGATCCCCTGTTAATTGCAGGTGCTGTTAGTTTAGTGTGACTTGAGCTAATGGAGTGTTGGCTCCAGGCCTCTTTAGCTGGCCCTACATGAGATGTATTAATTCAATTCTGTTATCACCAAAAGCCAAAAACAAAAAGTAAGAAGTATTCTGCAACAAAAGCAACATGCAAGCTCTTAAGTAGGTAAAACTTCCTTTGTTTCAGAGGCAGAAAGAATTTATTTATTTATTTATTGAAATATTTTTATGCCGCCCCATTCACCGAATCAAGAAGTTAGAGTAACCTAAAGGAGAGTTCACCTTGGTTAGTAGGTTATAGGACAAAGGGTCAAAAGATATCTGAAGAGAGAGGCTAGCGAGCAGAGGATGTTTAGCATCTATCCAGGCACAAGGGAATACCAATAATGCTCAGTGATCACTCAAGAGTCATTTCTAACTCACTAGTGTGAGTCAAATGACCAGACAAGTGGTTGTTTGCAAGCCTGGCTTAACCTGTAAGGATCCAAGGATGGCCACTCAAAGCCAACAAGGGGAAATTTTGAG